TCTCCCATGTCTCCACCTCCTCTCTCTCATGCCTCCATCTCCTCTCTCTTATGTCTCCATCTCTCCTCTCTCTCATGTTTCCATCTCCTCTCTCATGTCTCCATCTCCTCTCTCTTATGTCTCCATCTCTCCTATCTCTCATGTCTCCATCTCTCCTCTCTCATGTCTCCCTCTCCTCTCTCTCATGTCTCCATCTCTTCTCTCTCATGTCTCCATCTCTCCTCTCTCATGCCTCCATCTTTCCTCTCATGTCTCCATCTCTCCTCTCTCATGCCTCCATCTCTCCTCTCTCATGCCTCCATCACTGTTTTCAAGAAGAACAAGTCAGCACATTGTGAAATTTAGATGTTGCCCTTCTCAGGGCAGCATCATCTGCTTTGCGTGATCATTGGTGAGAAACTTGAAAGCAATTTTAAACTGTCCTCAGAAGATATTTATTTAGCTAATCATTAATACTAACTCTGTGGGTTGTGATATTTAGAATGAAAAGCTAAAAATATTTCAAGTTTCTAAACATGCTGCCATGGGAAAGAGCCGATTGTGGTGTGACTATGGAAAGGGCCTCCATGAGGAGCAGCAAACTTTGAAGAATGCAGGCAAGAGGGTTTGCCCCTGAATGGGTTAGCTCAGCATCTCCCGAGATGTGACAAGCATCTCATCTGCAGTGTGCAACAACATCCTATGTAGGTCATGAACAAAACTATATAGAATGGCTGTGTATTTCTTTAGAAGTTTCAGTGAGGGTATAATTCCACATGAAGCCCAAGGTTTTACCAGTATTGTTGTTAGGATGAGACCATCATAAAAGAAGCAAGGTGACTAAATGAAAAACATTAATAAATATTAAGCAACTAATGCCACAGGTGCTCACGAACATGGCAAAAACGTACAACGGTGGCATGTCAGGGACTTAGAATCAGAAGCATGTCCCTGTCGCTCATGACAACTCCTGTGGTTACCAACAGTCTCCGTATTCTTTCATCTTATTTCAGCTTGGCTAATAGAATATTTGAACTTACTTCTTTTCATTAATTACGATAGCTAGACAATGAGTTTCTCATTTCATAAGCTGTGGAAGGCCACACATAAGCAGAGATGCCTTGATCCCCATGATTATGGTCAGGCAGGAGACGCGAGGAAGAATAATAACACAGTTTTATGGTTGCAGGCCAATGGAGAATCCTTTCAGGTCAACAGGGGACCTATTAAACCACTCTGACCTTATATAAGAGATACTTAATAAGCACCTATACAATAGACTGCTGGAACAAAGAAATGAGTACTTCATCATAGCCTAACTTTAGGAGCATTACCCAAATAGTCCCAAGAGTAAACCTCCACAGGCAGACACAAGGAAACCGTAGCCCTAGGGATGACACCTACCTTGGGCACATTCTTCACATGAAAAAGTATATTTTGGAAGGAGTGTCCATCATTGAGCTGCAAGACTACAACATCAGATGTGCTGTTTGAGCCATCGTGAGCATAGAGGAGGAGGCCTCTGGAGAGTTCATCCAGATGGAACTCATGGACGGGGGCTGCAGGGGCTGGAAGTGTTTGGAGCAATTGGCCGTGACGTGGGGGATCAAGCACATTCATGACCACATCCTGTGAGTTGTCATCATCCCGGATGTCAAGCAGCTGGGTAGTGATGGCTGCCTGTTCTCCTTTGTTGATGTGGAGAACCTCATTTCTCAGCACATATGGGGCCTGTGGAGTGGAAGAAAAGTGGGAAGAAGAGCCGTTTAATAGTTGACACAGGACAAGACAGCAGTGTCTCTAACTTGATTAGACTCCTTTAAGAAAATCATGGAAGTGTCGACCTATTCCATGAAAAAAAATTACTTGTCAGGAGTGTGGTGGCCACAGTGACTGGAGTTATTTTGTGTCTCTGGATTTTAGAGGTTTCTCAGCTACTTAAAAACCAGAGTTTTGATACAATGCCATCTGCAAGTGCTACTTGCTCCTGGGTTTCTAAATGTCTCAGCCATCTTGGATTGTACCCCACCCCTGCACTTGCAGGAGAACACAGCTCAGATGTTAGGAAACACAATCACATGTCTGAATCCAGGAGGTAAGTAATTCAGAGCTTTGGGAGGCAGACGATTCACTCTAGGCCATACCAAAACAGGCTGACACAGTGGCATAAGTCCATTCTCTGAATCCATGATATTACCAGTCCCTCTTGGTAACATTCTTCCACTTTGATCCATATCTTGGCAGAGCCCCACCCCAATTCAGCCTATAAAACCATACAAGATCCAAGACCATGGCCTGGTAAGACAACCACCTAATTCATGTCACGCTGCTAACACAGTAAAGTTAATATGTCTTCCTAAGAATTGTCAGGTTGTTCCTGTTACCTTAGGAAGCAGATAAATATTCCTCTTCAGAGATAAAAGTTAATGAACCATTGTAGAGCACACACACACACTCACACACACATATCAGGAGGGAGGGCCAGGGGAAGAGGAAGGTGGGGAAGAAGGTAAGGGGAAGAGAGAGAAGGAAGGAGGGAGAGTGAGAGTGAGAGCAAGAGGGGGGGAGGGAGGGAGAGAGAGAGAGAGGCCAGAAGTCGAGGAAAATGCTATCTTAGCTTTTATGTTTGAACTGTCTAGGATGTTCCTCAACACACTGCGTTCTGCAACCCCAATGACTTAAAACTACACAAGCACCCTACTCCCAG